AACCTGGCCTTGAACACTGCCAGGGATGGGGCAGCCACAATTCCTTGTGTTGTCCTTAGTTGGAGCAGGGACCTGGAGGCTTCTTGCTCCTCAGCTGCCAGAGGCTTCAGGAGTCCCCAGAGCTGGGCTTATCCTGCCTCAGTTTTACCTTGAGGAAAAGTAACCCTGAAATTGCTTAATACTGAATTGACATCCAGGAATGTGATGTCCCTGGGGAGTACAAAGTGATGGTAGCACTGCACTGGGGGTTGGATAATGACACCTCTCTCTATCAGATGGCGTAAAGTATGGAGGGGCCTTCACAAGTTTTCAGTCTAAAAAATCCCCAGCATTGTTTTTTTCTCTTTTTATATCTACAGAACTTAAAATGTTAGTGAGATGCCTTCTGGCTTCTTTGCAGTTGAAAAGCTATTGAATACAGTGGGCTGCCTGAGCACTGCAGACTCCTGTTCAAATTCAGCCCATTTTGGTCTCTTTGGAAGGTTTTGTAATTTTAGAGAGCTGGTGAAGCATGGAAATGTAATGCAAATAATTCTAGTGTTTCCTCTGTTCGCTTGCATATGTTTCTTTCCAGACAGCTGTATTAGTATGCAGATGGCACAGAGCCACCTTCTGAAACTACTTCTCTATTTTTAGACCATTGTACAGTGAGTAAAGCCATCCTGTGTGAATGTCACACTGTGAAGTGAATCATGGAAAAGATCCTGGGCACCAAACGTCTGGCAGTAAAATGCCAATGTGAAAAAATACATTGGTGGTGCTCAAAGCATGGTGGGTGCAAGGGAGTCCCTCACTGCAGGGGCACAGCTCTACCTGCTCCAGAGCATCTCCAGAGGTGAGACCCCCCCTGCAGCCCTGATCCAGCTCTGGGGAACAGCACAAGAGGGACGTGGAGCTGCTGGAGCGAGGCCAGAGGAGGCCCCGGAGCTGCTGAGAGGAGGCCCCAGAGCTGCTGCGAGGGCTGGAGCAGCTCGGCTCTGGAGCCAGGCTGAGAGAGCTGGGCTGGGGCAGCTGGAGAAGAGAAGGCTCCTCAAGGGGACACCTTAGAGCAGCTCCAGTGCCTAAAGAGGCTCCAGGAGACCTGGAGAGGGGCTTTGGACAAGGGATGTAGGGACAGGCCAAGGGCAATAGCTTGAACCTGCCAGAGGGGAGACTGAGATGAGCTCTGGGGCAGAAGCTCTTCCCTGTGAGGGTGCTGAGGCGCTGGCACAGGGTGCCCAGAGAATCTGTGGCTGCCCCATCCCTGGCAGTGTTCAAGGCCAGGTTGGACACAGGGGCTTGGAGCAACCTGCTCTAGTGGAAGGTGTGCCTGCCCGGGGCAGGGGTTGGAGCTGGAGGAGCTCCCTTACAACCGAAATCATTCAGTGGTTTTATCTCATAGCTGTAAAAACAGAGACTCAGCAAGAAAGCTCAAAGCTGGGACCCCAGCAGGAACGTATCTTCTCATCAGCTATCCCTGGAACACATAATCACCTAAGCAAACCTGTCTTGTCTCTGTAGGGTTTTGAATACCATGATACTGGTGAGGTTGTCACTCAGCAGTCGAGCTGCTGATACCGGAAGTGATTTTCCAGGCTCCAAATTATCTAGGTGTCATCCACAAGATCTACAAAGGCAAAGTTAATCTGGAGCATGCCATGAGGAGGTGCTCTGATGTGGTCCTTGTGAGATGAAGCTTCCTGGCATGGGGCATTTCATCTCTTAGTATGAAATAGGACAGAAATTTCTACCTACCTATTTCTACCTTTTTATTAATGGGAAATTATGGAGAGTGTTGATTAACATGCATGGAAGAACTGAGTAATTGCTTTCCTCAAGCATAATATGGCATCTGAGGAGCTGAGCACAGGTTTGGGATAGTGTTTTCTCTTCCTTGCATCTGTTCTTCCTCTTCTGCTGTGGCTCAGCCCTGAATAATTAAAATACTCTGATCTCTCAGCACTTCCAGAAGTGAAGACTGGCTTAACTGTCAGTCCTTGCCTCCTGCTCTGCTGTTTTGATGGTAAATAGCATTGGTTTCAAACATCTGTCTTGAAACCAAGCATCGTAGAACATCATCTGCTGCTTCTCTCCCCTCTCCCTTGTGTGTGTGTGTATATATATGTATTATATGTATTTTATGTTGACAGTCTCAAAGGGTCTTTTGTACAAAACTCTCTTCTATGGGGATCTATTACCCCAATACAGAAACTGATGGAAATTCAGAGGGAGGTTCTAATACATCAGCCTGTGAAGGCCCACACCAGCACATCTTCTGCCTTCTGCTTTTCACACTCGATGCCAGCAGCAACATTTGGATTGCAAAGATGAAATAATGAAAGCTGTTTTTGTTGGATTGAATCCTGAGCATTCCAGTTGGTTTCATGGCTTCTGAAATGAAGTTTGTAGTTCTTTTTAGCTGGGCCAAGTTTAACTTCATGTTCCCATTTATCTGTTTTGCTGGTCTGAGATGGCAAATGCATGTTTCATGGAAACCTGGCTGATGGCTGCTGTGGAAGGGAACTTGGTATCAGTCTGGATGCTATTGGTCACGTGTGGAAAGAAACTGAGTGCTCAGAAAAACCTCAGTGCATCCACATCAGGTACATAATGAAGCCACCTCCAAACACTGTATGAATAGCAAGTCTGAACCACAGATACCATCCACACCCCTTCCCATCGTTTGGGATGAGTATGCTACGTTGTCCCAACAAAACTGTAACTGAAGAAGATGACAAATATGTGGGACAGTCGGTGCTTGAAAGACTCCCGCTTGCTTGTGGACATGACACAGCCTCCCTTCAGATTTATGAAGACCAGATTGTTTTCAGAGCTGAACTTCAAAGCTCATCAAGCCTTGATGTGTCTTTGCTGCTGGGAGAGCAGCCAGCCCTGTTTCCATGCAGAGGGTTCCTGGTGCAGAGCTGTGGGTGTTGATATTGTGCAAGCCTTCTGCATCCTTATGGGATAGAGCACATTGGTGCAGTGACGCAGCCCTGATGGACCGTGTGTGGGGCTCAGATTAGATCTGCACAGGCATTTCTGACCTCCTGAGCTTGGAGTGTGCCACAAGCTGCCAGGGAGCTTGCAAGGCTGAGCTGTTTGCAGCGAGAACCCAGTGATGGACCACAGGCACAAGTGGTTCTGTAGCCATCCGGCAGTGCTTCTCCATGGATGATGGTTCTGTAGCCATCCTGCAGTGCTTCTCCATGGATGATGGTTCTGTAGCCATCCTGCAGTGCTTTTCCAAAGCTTTCCCAACAGCTGTGGCTGGTCAGTGAAAAGAGGCTAGGTTTCACAGACTGGAGTGTGCTGGTCTTTGTAAAGAGGCTAGGTTGCAGCATGCACATGCTTGTTTCAGAGCCTTCCCTGGGATCTGTGCCTGGTAAATAGGAGGTTTGTAGAGCTGGTACAGACTTGCCTTGGGTTTTTAAAGCATGTTTATGTGTTGCTCCTTGGCAGCCTTCAACTGTAATTCATAAACTTGCTCAGTTATGGCACCTAAATAAGCCTGTTCCAGCCTCATTTCCTTCTTGCAGCGATGGCCTCTTGGCAGTATCTTAGCAAGAGCATATCTGAAAGAGTTGTACTCTGTGCTCTTACTGTGACACGTCCAGGAGAGGATGAGCCGCCTGTTCCCATGCAAACTTGATGTGGTGACCTTACTTGGGCACATAAACTCGGTGTGTGTTCACTGATGTGCATGTTGGTGCGTCTGTAAAGGAAGAACAAGTCGGTGCTGGTGTGGGCATGGAGGGGAGGGCTTCAGAAGGCTGGTGTAGAATGGCTTGAGCTGAACGACACAGACAGAAATCATCAGCTCCAGCATGTGTGGCTGTTCCCGAGGTGTTTTCCAGCAAGGCCAGCACAGCTAAACTTGAGGGGGGGTTACATTTCTTCTTAAAGGACCTTCGTGTCGTGTGGTGTTCTTACTCTGGGAGCCCTGCCTTCTCTCTGAGGAGCAGAGGGTCCAAGCTGTGGGCAATTCTGAAGCAATTTGTACTTCTGGTGACGAGTTGTGACTTTGCCCAGCAGTGCCTTTCCCTGTCTCCTTCCTTCCCATCCACCCAAAGACCCCAGTGGCCCTTTTTGTTTCTTTCATTTAACGTATCTCTGATAGAATGCATCATTGTTAAGGGGTGCATTTACACCTTTTTGTTCAAGATTTGGGCTTCAGTGTTTATGGATGACATACCTGCAGCCAGAAGAAACACAAGGTTACATTAATAGATGGCTTTGTCCATTTAGGCATGACAGCAGAACTGTGCCATCCCTGAAGTGCTGCCCCATCCCTGGCAGTGTTCAAGGCCAGGTTGGACACAGGGGCTTGGAGCAACCTGCTCTAGTGGAAGGTGTCCCTGCCCGTGGCAGGGGTTGGGACTGGGTGAGCTTTAAGGTCCCTCCCAACCCAAGCCATTCTATGGCACTTGCATGCCTTCTCCTTTATAAGCTCATCTGACCAGCCGGAGTTATGTAATTCATCTTTTCTTTTTTTTTGTGGTTTTCTTACAAACATTTCTTCAACGTTGATTTAAAGCAAATCCTATGATGTGATATAGTTGTTTCCTAAAGCAGAAGGACCTATTGCACACCCCTGTTACGTGCAGAAGGGTCTGTATAGAATCCTGTCTTGTCATCCCTCAGCCAGCCCATGGTGAGGAGGCTGCTGGGTTGCTTTTGGCTTACTCTGTCTCTACAGCTGCCTGGGCTCTAGTTTTACATGAACTACTCTTTCTAATGCTATATGAATAAATAATGCTCTTCACCCACAACCATGACATGAGCTGTAAGTCATGGTACATCAGGAAGATGTCAGACCTTTGTGACCAGTAAAGATTCTTTCTCCTCTGCTGGAGAGGAGATAAACCTTTTGAAAAGGGTGATTTGATCTGTATTGTTTGGAATTCCCCTCATAGCTGTGTGCCTCTGTAAGGTCCTCTCAGTGTCCAGGGGCTCTGGTGCCCATCTGAGCCTCTGTACCCTTCCTCTCTAACAAGCCTGATGTCTCCTTACTCTTGCAGAAGAGAATGCAGAGATCACGCTGGATGTATCCCTGGCCTATCGTGATGACATGTTTGATGACTGGAAGGAAATAGCACATGCAATAGAGATCAGGAAGCTGAAATGCTCCTTCGGCTCACCAAAAGTAAGGGGTTTTGATGGTGCTGGAGGTGGGCAGGTGTGAGGACGGGTTGGGAATTGTCTTCCTTCCCTTCGTGGTGCTTCCCAGAAGCTTGGAGTTGTTCAGTCATAACTTTCAAATGCGTCAGCCCAAAACCTTTGAAAACTTCATGAGTTCCACCTGCATTTGGGTGCTGGTTGGTGATACAAGTTGGGGGTAGACTTACAACTAAGGAAGAAGAGGTGTGAGGTGTTGTGGGGGTGTTGTCTGGAACTCAAATGCTTTGAGATCTGTTTACCCCAAACCATTCTAGAGAACTTGGACCTTTCCATCTTGTGCTTGTGGTGGACAAAACCTTGTTCTTCAGCAGTGGTGAGGAAATAGTCCCCCAGGGATAATGCAGCACTCAAAGAACCTGCAGAAGTTTGTTAGAACAACTTAATGCCTCAAGCTCCAAGGCTTAGGAGCAGCGAGCACAGCCAGCAGCTGAGAACAGCATCTTGTTTAAATCAAGATGTTTCTTTCTGTGCTGTAGGCTGCAATTCCTGTGCTTAAATTAATCTGGCATCTCTTTCCCAGGCCATGGTTTTCAGCCTGTCTTGTCCCATTTCACAGTCCCTTTCAGCAACCCCCTTACATCTCCAGTAATACCTGTACCCTCCCATACAGCCACATCTATGCAGTGAATACATCTGAGGTGTAGAGAGGAGCTTTCCTGGTAAAACAGGACTTAAACTCCACATCAAGATGTGTGAGGGGTTGCATGTTTTGTTTGGGCCCAGGTGGTGCTTGCTGAGGGAGGAAGCTTGGATGCCAATGCACCCTTTCATTATGGGAGGCATCATTGACATTAAGAGCCTGAAAGGTGAACCTGCTGTTGGCTCAATGACCCAAACCAACCAAAACCTTGAGGAAGAATGTCCCCAAGCTCCTGACTGTCACAGGCTCTCCCAGGAAGGCTGGAATTGGCAAACAGGCTCCCAGTGCTAGCAGTGTCCCAGCATTAGGGTTTTGCAGACCCTCCCCGTGGCAGGTGGCCCATCCAAGGCTGCCCACCGTGTTCTGTGCCCTTGCTCTAGACCCTGGAGTCCGAGGGCCGTCACTACGACTGTGACTTCCTGCCCTTCATGGAGATTGGCAGCGTGGCTCACAAGTACTACCTCATCAACATCCGCCTGCCCGTGAACGAGAGGAAGGGCATCAACGTGGGCATCGGGGAGATCAAGGACATCCGCCTCGTGGTAAGGGTCTGGCCTGCTTCTGTCCGTGGTGTCTGCCTGGGGGCTCCTCTTCGATCCACAGCAAGGTCCTGCTCTTCATCTTGGGCAGCTCCTGCCTGCAGATGTGACTTCCCTCCTTCCCAAGGGATGCCCTCATTGACCGCTCTCTGTTGAGGAGTCCTCCTCAAGCCTGGAGCAGGGCCACCTTCCTGCACTGCCCTGGGACCACCTCCATGGATCCGAGAGCACCCTGTATCCTTTCCTCCCCACCACAGTCTGGCCTGGGAGAGGATTCCTCCATCTGATTGAGCCCTGTCCAGTGGATAGGAGCTCAGGAGGAACAGGCCAGCAAGGTTCAGAGGGGACCTGGTCTCTCTTGAGTTGGCTATGCCCATGCAGACGTTTGGGATGGCTGCTGGCTACCCTGCTCCTGCCCTCCTTTATGGCTTGGTGACCATGGGTGCTTTTCCCAGCTGGAGAACCTCCCACCACTGTCCCTCTCAGCAGGATCAGTGAGCCAGCGGCTGTGGTGGCTGCAGACAGAGGTGGGAGGGATGTGTGTCTGGAGAAGTGCATTCATTTGGCTGATGCTCTTACCACCGGTGGTGACTTGGCTCCATGAGTATCTTGTTACTTGTCTGAGAGCGATTCTGCCAGCTCTTTCCATGCTGTGTCAGTGTCTCCCTCCCAAGTGGAGGCTGCGTCTTGGTGTTTGTTTTCAGGGCTTCTAGAGCCTGCTCAGACACCCTGGGTGCTAAGTAGGAACCTGCTTCCTTTCCTGTGTTGAACAGACCACGTTCTTCAGAGGGTAGTTGCATCTTGACAGGCTGTGAGAGTTGGGGCTGTTCAGAGTAGGGAAGAGAAGCTGCGTGAAGACCTCAGAGCAGCTCCAGTGCCTAAAGGGGCTCCAGGAAACCTGGAGAGGGGCTTTGGACAAGGGATGGAGGGACAGGACAAGGGGAATGGCTTGAACCTGCCAGAGGGGAGACTGAG